TGCTCCGACCTCCCTGGCTCCTCTCGTCTTCCTGGCTGCCGCACAGGCTGCTCCCGGTATCAGGAGGTTTTTCTTCCAGCCTTCGCCTCTTTCGCTCCTGCTCACCCTCAGGGCTCAGATCCAACCGGTTTCCTTGGGGAGCGGGTCAGCGACTGCCCCACCCTGCCGGATGTTCCCTCGGGCACTTGCTCAGTGCGGGTCTCAATGTGGGAACTCAACACTCATAGCAGAATGGATTTTTGGCTTTTTGGATGCCTCCTTTGTCCCCGGAATGAGACCTTCAGTTTGTCCACTGTCACTGCTGTGCCCTACAATGCGTACAGCACGCTCTGGGCCTCTCTGCTGTCAGCTTCTCCCGCACACCGCAGACCTGGTCGTTGTTGCACTGTCTTGCTTAATTAGAATCTTGGATGGCTTCAAATGGCCCATGGCTCCTCCTGTCACTCTCTTCCCCTTGGGAAGGGGCCCAGGTGGTCACACAAAGCAGCTGATGTCAAGCATAAGGTTTTCCTGAGGTTTCACGTTTTGTTTTAGAAATTCATGTGAAGTGTGCATTCCGATCTATAACGCCCACTTGCTAAAAACTAGTAACAATTATGCTTCCCCACGAAACCCTGCAAGGAGAAGTGACGCAGCAAGCGTCATCTCGCGGCCATGGCGGGGGGCCCTGGCGTCACCACCACGCCCACCGCGCACTCCCAGGGACGTGAGTGTGGGTTTGATGTCGTTTATTGGAGATGCTGACCCGCAGGGCCCCTGGAGCCCCACCGGGTTTCCCGCTGCAGCGGATGGACAGTCCTCACTCCTGCCGACCAGTTCCCTACCAGTTCCCACCAGTTCCCGACCAGTTCCCCCGGCCGCCCTCGCTCCTGCCGCTGGGGCTTTTCTCAGAGCACTGAGGGCTGCGCCCCTGCGCAGAGCTGCCCCACCCAGAAATGCTGCTGGTTTAAAGCCCCCAGGGCAACCCCCGAACAATGAGGGAAAGAATTGTCACAGGAATTCCCAGCTTCCCTGGGCCGGTCAGTCTGGAGCCACTTTGAGGACCCCTGAGGGGCTGGGCCTGCATTGCCCACCCTCAGCCAGGCAGCCTGTCTTGGCTTTTCTGCTGTCCCCATCTGCCCGGCTCTCCACTTCCTCCTTTGTGTGTTTTAGGATCATCTTCCAAATAACCTATGGGCACCCAGGGCCTTGTCTGGGCCTTTGACTTCGGGAGAAACCAAACTAAGAAAGCTGGTACCAGAAGTAGCCCCACGAAGCAGCCCCTGAGGGTGACATTCTGAGCGGGGTCACTTGCTGGTTAGGTGGGACATCCCTCTGCGGTGGCGTGCCGGGGGTGATAACTTGCTGGGACTTACTGAGCCTGTGGTGGCTTGACAGGAGGCACGGATATGAATGGACGCGCCAGCTCACGCAGTCCCCCACACAAAAGGGCTGCAGGCGCAGATGTGACCATGCCCTGGAGCTGGCTGGCTTCTCACCGCCCCAGGAACCCTGAAGACAGGGAAGGATGGGCTCCAGCCCACTGACTGTCACCTCAGGGCGTGCTCCGTGGCAGCATTTAAGAGACTCTCATCTCCTACTGCCAGAGGACAGGCTGTACCCAAGATAGGTCTGGATTTGGTCCTAAGGGTGACGGAGGTACCAGGGACCGAATACAAAGCCCCAGCTGGCTCCCCATGCCAAGGTCAGGGCCTGATGGGGAAGGATGGCCCCAAGACCAGGGGTGATTTCTCAGCTGCGTCCTCTGGGAAGAATATGCCAAGACACAGTGAGACATTCCGGAGACCTATAGGGAATAAGGCCTGAGAACGAAACAAGGAACAGAAGTGGGTAGGGCGAGCCTCAGGTCACAGTGCAGGTGTGACACCTACGAAAGGAGAGGGAGGAAGGACGAGGCGGGAAGATCCTCAGACCGCAGGAGGCTCAGTACGCTCGCCGAGGCCAGGCGGAGTTCCAGCCCGCGACAGAAGGGCGGTGGGACACTGCCCGGGAAGCGCGTGGCCTCTGTGTGACGGCAGCCGCAGCTGGACGCTGCCAGCTAATTACATCCCTTAGGGCTGGTTCTGTCACAAAGGGAGACCGTTCTCTGTCAAAGGAAGTTAAGTAAGTGGCATTAGGTCCCCAAGGAAGCTGTGGATCCAAGGCTCGATTCCAGGTTATCTGGCTCCAGGACGCATCGCTTTATGGCTAACCCGCGCGCCACAGAGAAGTGGTCCTACTGTCTGCGACTGGGTTCTTGTTAACGGTAGAAGTTCGGCTGTACGTGAAGTTTCAGCTGCACCTGGGACAGTGCCGACAGTCTGAAGAGGCCAGGTCGACGGGCCGGGTCTCCTGATGAGAGCTGCAGGAGGCCAGTCTCGCCACATCTGGATAGGCAGCCTGAGGCCATCCGCACCGGGCCACGGCAGAGCTTCCCCAATTCCTCTGCTCACGCCAGTGGCCAGGACGATTCCAGGGGCCCAGGCACCCGGTGCAGCGGCGGCCCGTGAGCCATCTCCCTGCCTCGAAGACGGCACTGTGCTCCCAGGGCCGGGCCACTGTGTCGCACATGCCGTCCCCTTTTGGGACAGAGCTGAGTTTCTACTTCTGTGCAGGTGCTGTCTGGGCTGCCCCATCTGTGTGGTAGGGAGCCCCCACCATGGTCCATGATGGTGACAGCTGAGTGAACAGGGAGATCAGAGGGACCTGGGGAAGCTCTGAAGGTGGCCCGCCTGGCAGTGATTCCTGACAACGTACGTAGGGTTAGGTTGCATTTGCACCCTGGGGCCTCTTTTAAAAAAGAAGTAGTTTCTACAGCCCATGCACACACACCCTGCCAGGAAGGGTAAACACGAGACCAGCATCTCCCAAACTGCGCTCTTCAGATCATCAACATCTGACCGACACAGGACGCACTTCTAAAATGTCTGCACCCGGCAAGAGCAGACCTGCAGATCTGCTCCTCTGCACGCAGCGTGTTCTCCAGGCGGCGCTCACGCAGCCCAGAGGTGAGGGCAGCTCTGCGGGAGGCTCCGGAGGCCAGCACTCAAGGGTGCCGAAGGATCGTCTGGCAAATGCCTGCCTTCTAGAGGCAAATCGAGTGCTGGGGACGTGCAGTGACCCCTCTGGGCTCATGGTTTCTCATTGCTGGTCCATCACACACCCCAGAAAATTTGGCATTATTGACACTCTTATGTATTAATTCATTTAGCATAGCATTTCTCCCTTAATAGAGACAGCATAAGAACATAAACTGCCAAAACTGCTTCCTCCAAGTGATCAGATGGGCTGAAGCAGGAATGGTCCCAGATTTAGCAAATAAAAATACAGGACTCCTAGTTCGATTTAAATTTCAGATACACAATGAATAGCATTAAAACATAAGTTGTGTCCTATGTAATTTTGGGGACATACCTATAGTAAAATATTTTTTGTTGTTTATCCCATGTCTGGAGAGCACCAGGTTTGGCCATAGCCCTCCAGGAAAGATCTAGAGCCTTCCAAGCTTAGGCTGCTAACACAAAACACCACAGACTGCATGACTTACACAACAGACATTTCTTCGCCACGTTCTGGAGGCTGGGAAGTCCAAGACCAAGGTGCCTGCAGATCTGGCATCCCGCGAGGGTTTGCAGACGGCCATCTTCTCCCAGCACCCTCACGGGGCAGAGAAAGGCGGATCTTGTGTCTCTTCCTCTTTTTATGCCAACACCAGTCCCACCACGACAGCCTCGTTCTTATGACATCATCTAACACCGATCACCTCCCGAAGGCCCCGCCTCCAAGCAGCAGCACATCAGAGGTTTGGTTTCGGCGTGTGGATTTGGGGTTGGGACATGATCACTCGGTCCACAGCAGAGGGCAAAACCAGCCCAACACGTGAATGGAGGAGCAAGAGGAGGAAGAGGAAGGGAAAATCAACCCAACCTTACAGGGAAAGGAATGCAAGGAAGACGCCAGGCTGGGGAGGGAGCGGGGAGCACGGGGTTTACGACCCGGCCTCCCCCAGGTGAGGCGTGGGGAAGGCACGGGGGCGGGGCGCAGGGGCAGTTATCCAGAGAGCCAATTCCAGATTTGAGGCTCAAGCGCACTCTCTTGCTCCCCACTGTCCCGGGGAAGTGTTTCAGAGGTGGGGACTGCTGCCCTCTGACAATCAGACACGGTGCCACCCGCCACCCGCTCAGTGTGCACGTCTGCGGGGGTTGCAGCAGCCTGGGGGCAAAGGTCACTGTTTGGCTGTCTGACCATGGCAAATGATTTTCTGGGGGCGATTCCGCTGCAGATGAACTTATTACAGCCTTCTATTGTGACTCATTTCCACGTGCTTCCCTCGTATCTGTAGAGTTTATCCGTCACTGCAAAGGAGCTGTCTGATTCACGAGCAAATGGTTCCACCGATCGCCCACATAGGGAGACAGAATCCCACCCTACAGGTCCCTGTTGGTTCCACCCCCACGTGAAAGCGTAGCTGCCCAGCCTGCTCTTAGCCAAGGGGGAAGCGGGGGCCTTACTTTTCTACGAGGGTCTCTCATCTGTCTTCCCGTGCACAGGAGTCATAGGGGAGCTGAACCCGGTTGGCCAAGGTGGGCCTTGGCCTGTCACCCTGCACACGGAGGTGACGCACCACCAGCTTTGGCTCCAGTGCGTGCCATGGAACCCTGAGCGAGGACCTGATGTGGTGCCGGGCACACTGGGGACCAGGTGTGTCGCATGGCGGGAGCTTGGCACGGGGAGGCAAGGGGAGCAGGAGGCACTGGGGAGGGCGTGGGGGGAGCCTGCTCCGAGGAACAGCTGCGAGGACAAGCCCGTCCAGGACAGGAGAAGACACCCAACCGGCTGGGCCCACGAGGTTCTTGGAAAGCCAGGAGTCAGGTGGAAAACACTGGAATGGAGAAGTGTTACCGCAAGTTCGGTACTTGTCCCCGAGGCCGAATCAGTGAGAAAGAAGAACGGGGACAAGTGGCTTGAGGAAAATGAAAGAGACGTTTATTAACTTCCCGGTAAATGAGGAGGCAGCGGATGAGCCTCTCAAAAACCCGCCGTCCTCCCTTTGAGCAGAAATACAGGGCTTTTTAAAGAGGTCGGGCTTGGGTCTATGCGACCAGTGTCACACGGTGCGGATTTGGGCTATTGCTTCACTGTAGTTGGTGGCTTTGGTCGATCTGATCTCGTCTCCAGTGACGATGATCTCGTGGCCTCTGGACATCTCCTATGGTTTAAGGTACTAGAAAACAAAGAACAAAGTACATTTTTCTTCCCCTTTGATTTCTGGCCTCTGGCGGGCATGCAGATTTTAATTTCCAAAAACGGGTGGGGCTTTTAAAGAGCCAACTGTCACATTTTGCCCTTTTGCAGCCCTTTACAACTGCTGCAGAAGGAACGGGGCGGGGGTAGACCTGGCAAGGCCGTCGTCACCCCCTGGACAGGAGAGTGGACCAGACTCTGTCCTTGCTGCACACGGCCCCAGTTTAAAGGAGAGAGGAGCTAATATTTACAGAGATCCACTTAGAACGAGGCTCTTCCCATGAAATCTCATTTGGTCCTTTACTATTTACCGCTGGGCTGCCGCAGAGAAAGGCGTTTCTCCTTCCGAGGTGACGGTGGCACCGAGTGCGCATGCGAAGGCTTCTCGCGGGTCCGAGACAACGGCGCTCTGTTCTCGCGAGCCTAGACGGCGGCATTCTGCGTGCGGTGATTCTAATTATGAATCAGCGATCAGGGCAAGGGTGACTGTAATCGACTTAAAGGTCAGTAGGGGAAGAGTGAGCTACAGAATCATGAAATAGTGACGCCGTGAATCCCGGACGGTGCTTGTGTCTGTGTGTGCTGCAAATGTGCGAGCGAGAACGCGCTGTCTGCCGCGCGCGGATGTGAAACCGGCCCAGGGGTTTTGCTGCAGAAGCCAGAAGCGCAACATTCGCGGCCTTCCCCAGTGTGAACTAAAATAAAATTTTAACGCTCACCCCCCCCACCAGCTGACTAAATGGACCCCCTCGTGGCCAAAGGAATATCCTAAAACTAAATTGCCTGCCTGGAGGAGGGAGGTCAGACATGCCTTACCATGCCCCCCTCCCTTCTTGGGGACATCCTTCCTAACCCATTAACAGGCCTAAGGGTATGCAAGACAAACCTGCAGGTCCTCGATTTACACAACAAATCTTTGTCCAGTGGCTCATCTCTGATAAACAGCTCCTTGTGTTAAAACATTCCAAGCCTCTAGACAAAGCTTCATGTCTTTAACCAATTACAAGCCAAAGAATCTTTAAACCCACCTATAACCTGTAAGCCCCCGCTTCGAGATGGCCCACCTTTTCGGGCCAAACCAATGTATGCCGCCTACGTATTGATTTATGACTTTACCTGTAACCTGCCTCCCTAAAATGCATAAAACCAAACTGTCACCCAGCCACACCGAGTCCACTGCTAAAGGCCTCTTGGGCGTGGCTCCGAGTCATAGTCTTCAAATTTGGCTTGGAGTAAATCTTTAAAATTATTTTACAGAGTTTGGTCTTTTTTTCCGTTGACATGAGAAAGGCAGGGTAAGGAGAGGTGGGGACCCTGGAGATGAGGGGTGCGCGGGATGCGAGACCGCCCTGAATAAAGTGGAACATCCTGGACATTTCATTGAAACGGCAACCAAGGCTGCTTCCGGGTTACCTTCCAGAACTCTAGGCATAATGAATGCAAATCAAGGAGTGGGGTGGAGTGAGTGGCATTGATGCAGGAATCACATTTTATATTAACTATTAGTAATCAAAGTGCTCTGCCCCTGGTGAGTTTCCTAAAATTTCCTCCCTGCGTTCTCACATCCCAAAGGGGGCCAGCGGTTTCATCTGACACACCTTTCTGCCCACTGGCTATTTCACAGGATTCAACTGGCTTTTCTCCAGTTGATAGGAAAATGCAAATCTGTAAGGAGAATATGGAAATTCACCCTTTTAAACTAGCTAAATGTCAGACGTTACAATAGAAACCAATGAGGTGACAGGAAGTTTAAAGGAATGCTTCAAAAATGAAAATAAGGCACTCAAATGGGCAGTGGAAATCAAAAGAAATTGCAAAGCTACCATGTAAAAAGAGCTAATTAGGAGAGAAAGAGCAACCTAGATCATGTGACAGGCAAGACAGGAAGACACACAGGCCACCTCCAGAGGGGAGGGAGGTGGGTGTCAGCGGAGCCCAGGGAGCTACGGTTCTCTCTCGTCAGCCACAGCAGGACGCTGCTGTGCGTGGGAGGGAGCAGACCAGTGGCCGTGGGGACTGGGACAGGTGCGCTCTGCTCAGGAAGCATTTGAAGCCGTGCTGCCCGGCCGGCGGCCCGCGCCTGTAGTCCCAGCGGCTCGGGAGGCTGTGGCGGGAGGATACCGTGGGCCCAGGAGTTCGAGGCCAGCCTGGGCAGAGGAAAAAAATAGCGCTGCCTCAGCCGGCTCGGGACGCTCCTTGCTCAGCAGCCCGCGGAATCACGGTCCCCGGGAGCAGCAGCTGTGCGGGCCCCCGAGGGTCTTCCGAGGGTGGCATCTGCAGAGAGCTTGGGGGCGACGAGCATGTCCCGGCGCACCTCGCGTCCAGCCTCCCACAGACGGCAGGCTCTCGGGGTCAGCCCGGGCCTGCCTCTCCCCGCGCGGCGCTTCCTCCAGGGGCAGCTCGTCGCGAACCGGTTCCGAGTCCCACCTGGACGCCGGGACTCCAGGCTGAGGGCTCCCACTGCTTTCACCCTGGGAGGCCGAGACTTACGCACTCCAATGCCGGTTTTTGAGGGTCCCCAAACGCAAACGCGCACATGCAGGGGTTTGGCTGGAACCGCCCTGCCGGTCTCCCCGCGGCCCCTCTGATCCCGTCTGCTGCGGCCCAGCGTTTGCCCCCGCGGCCGGGGCCTCGGATCGCCTACTGCTCTGGCCGCCCAGGCCCCGCGACCGTCACCTGTCACCCAGCGGGCCTGGCGCTCGCGACCTCGGCCCTTCGCCACTGCTCTGCTGAGGCCGGGTCGGGACGTGCTGCCCTCCTGGCGCCGGCGGGCTGCGCGGAGTGGGCGGAGCAGAGGGCGGGGCGGGGGAGCCCGGGGTCAGGGGTCGGGGTCGGGTGGGGTCGGGGTGGGGGCGGGGCGGGTCCAGAGCGGCTCCCGGCCAGGCCCGCACCGCCCGCAGGGGCCCAGACCAGCGCCGCAGAGACCGGAGTGCCCTGCTCGCTGTGCAGAGGGTGAGGGTTTCGCTGGAACAGACTTTCCATGGCGTATTTTAAACGTGTAAATCATTCATACTGCTTTGATGGCAAATCTTTGATTTTGTAGACAAACACTGCATTTTCAGTCTTTCCTTTTAATAATTTTTTATGAGTGTCTTTGTGTTTCTGTCTGCTTCTTGCCTCTAGTGACCAACAACGTGGGCATTTGTCTTTAACTGTAACACAGAAGGATGTTTTTAAACAAACAAAAATCAGTCAATAAAATGAATCGGAGCGGTCGGTGTGGAACCTCCACCCAGCTACGCTGTGGGCTCCCAGAGGGCAGGGACCCCGGCTTGGTCACCTCGTTCCCCAGGCCCTGGCCGGAGGTGCTGGTACGTGTTCTCCACACAAGCTGCGAGCGGCTGCAAGTGAGTGACTGCAGGGGTGGCCAAAAAGGACGGTCTGGAAAGGCTTCTGGAGGCAGCCGAAGAACATCTCCCAAACCCTTCCACCCAACAGGGTTTTGTTTGTTTGTTTGCTGGTTTTGGTTTTTGTTTTTAAAGAAACAATCTTTTTCATATGCAGAGGACGGAACAGAGCAGTGGGCATCGGGGCCTGAGCCCGCCGGCGGGTGGGGCAGGAGGGCAGCAGCGTCCAGGGCCCGAAGGAGACTGGGGAGAGGATGGTGGGGGGAGGCAGAGGCAGAGCGGGATTTCCCCAGGAGTCACAGGGCAATCCCGGCGTCCACCTGTCGTGCACACGTCTGACACGTGAGCAAGGCCTTGTGGAATGAAACTGCCCCTTAAAGCGAACACGTTAAGGGCCTTGAAAAGCGACTAGTTTTCTCTTTCAGATGCTGCCTGCGTGAGATGAGTGTGGAGTGAGCTGCTGGGGTCGGAGCCGCGTGGCTGGAAGGCTTTGCCATGTTCGCAAGGAGCCCTGGTGCAGTTTGCTTCCTTCCTGGCCCTTACTGCAAACTGTAATTCTTGCATTTGTTTGTGTGCTTTTCTGTTTCTGTCTCTCCCCTCGCCCCCCAGACAGTAAATCCCATGGGAGTAAGAGATCATCCTGTATAGCATCCTTGACAAAAGTAACTCCATCTTAGAAAAGGACCCCATCTTACATTTCACAAGGCATAGTGCCAACAAAGACCAGGCGACATCTGTTCGCCTGATCAACAGAGACCACACCCAACCAGACACGGGCATAACTTTACTATCAGCACCCCCCAGAGGACTCATGGACTTTAAAAAAAGCAGGATTTCACCAGTTCGACACGGCTGTCTCAACAGACACCGTCTTGCTGTCACTGGTGATCAGCACCCGGCATCTGCTGCCAGAGTCTCCGCCCAAATCAAGGACTCGGCCTTGCAAGATGTCGATGACCATGTGGGTCAGCCTAGGGCACACTCCTCGTCCACGGCACTCTCCTTGGACTGGTTTGTTAGCCCCTTTTCCTATCTCCGTTTCTCTTGATGGCACATGTTTGATGTGAACGCTGTAACCTATAGCATTTATATATGAACTATATGACGGTGCGTGGTTTGCAGTACTGACTGGCTGTGGACTGGCTCCAGCCTGTGTGCCCGGGGCTCTGGCTGCCTAGCGAAGGCGCAGTACTAGCAGCCGCCTCCTTGGGAACGCTGGGGATCATGGCTTTGATGACTGAATATACATCAGTAAAAGTCTGAACTTGTGGAAAGACACCAATGCGCAGGGACCTGGTTATAACTGACCTTGCGCTGCTCACGACACATGTCGTCTTTGCCGTGGTCTGAATGTCTGTGTCCTCTTAACCTACCCCCTAAAGTGATGGTATTAGGAATTGGGGTCTGTGGGAGGTCAAGAGGATGGAGCCCCCGTGATGGGATTGGTGACTTTGTAAAAGAAGCTTGAGGAAGCCCATTTGCCCCTGCGGCCACGTGAGGGCGCATAGACGGTGTCGTCTGTGAGGGACAGGTCCTCACCAGGACCCAAATCTGAGGGCGCCTTGATCTTGTTCACTTCAGAACTGTGAACAGTAAGTCTCTGTTGTTTACAAACTCCCCAGTCTCGGGTGTTTAATTAAGGCAGCTGCAGGGACTAAGCGATGACTGACACCGAGTCCACAGAGCCTATTCCTGCTCCAGGCATGTAGTAGGTGCTCAGTGAGCGCTTGCGGAATGATGGACTGCGCAGGAAAACTCAAGTCATGGAAAGGCAGACACCCTTTCGTGTGTGGAGTTGGCCCCATGTTTTCTGACCTGTCACTTTAATCCTTCACCACAATGAGGTGGTTGCTGGAACGCCCCACAAAGCTCCACCGACCCAAGGGTCAGGCAGGGTGGACGGCTGCTGCACCAATGCCCGGGGCCTCCTGGGAGCCACCCCCACAGGAGTTTATCTTATATACAAAAAGGCTGAGAGAACCTCAAAGACGGGGCTGCCCACTGGGCAGATTCTAGTCTGGGGCTTAATCTGACGAGGAAGGAGGGCAGAGCCTCCCCCAGCGCAGTTACTGAATGGGGAAGACACAGGAGGTGGAGCACGTTCCCATCTGTCAGGGCGCAGCCTGGTTCGGCGAACGCTCTTCCCTCTTCCCCAGCTGTCGCCGTGGACCACGGCCAGCAGGCTGTCGTCTGCGAGGGGAGCAGATGGCGGGTGAATTTCTGAATGGCCGGCTTCCCCAGGTAACCACTCGGGTAGGAGAAGAAGCAGTCCCTGCCTCGAAGGTTCAAGTCACACAGGGCTGGCTCCGGTCTCTTCCATGAGCACGACTGTTTAACAAGTGATTTGGAATGTGACAATGACGTTCAGTGGGTGCGTGCACAGGGATCCCTAGTGCATGTACATATCAGCCACTTTCTTATACTATCGGCCTCGCCCCACTCAGCCCGAGGTCTCTCCACCCAGGCGTTTGCCACTGGGTAGAAAAATGCAGCTCCAGGCACATGTCCGTACACCCACATTCTCAGCAATTTCTCTTCTGGGATTCAGGAGTTTTGCCTCAACCAAGGGAGCCAAAGGTATTTGAATAGCATCTTCTCAGTAAAAGTAAATGGTCCCTTAGAGAAAAAGTCAGCAACATCCTCGTTTCCAAAACTTCTTCCTAGACACGTATTTCCCATAAAGAAGCCAACACGCTTTAGCGCTGGGTGTAAGGTCTAAAGAGCCACCTGGCCCGTGCGCCTCAGCGCTGGGCCTCCGGCTGCAGCAGAGCAGATCTCCGGGCCAGGGCGGGTTTCTGAGGGTACCATTCGGAGTTTCGCTTTTATGAGACGTGTGTGTCTAGCTGTCCTTTCCCAACTGCAATCCAGGCTTGACTGGCAAAGCGCCACTTAGGGATTCGTGCCCGCGCCCCTCATGTCTGCAGTCTGGCATCGAGCGGTAACTGCCATGTGATCCCCCGGCGAGGGCCACCCCTCCCGGAGCGTCCCGGCCTGCCTTGTTTTACGTTATCACCACCGCAGAGCGATTTCACTGCCAGCGTCACCGGGGACTTACGTTCACTGCTCGTTTAGAGGCTCGGGACCTGCTTTTGGCCTGAGTCACACGCACACACTTGCTCACGCCTGGTTACCGTGAGTGGCCGCCGGTCAGGCCCGGAAAAGGCCCACACGCACATCAGGGCTGGGCGGCCTTTCCCCGCTTAAATGTTGCTTCTCATCTAAGTCTGAGCCCCGGCGGCCGCTCTGTCCCCTGAGGGGCTTCAGTGCAGGACCTTCGGTCAAGGTCTGCCGTAGATCTCGACCCCTCGATATTGCCCCCGGGGGGCCAGAGCAGAAGAGAAGCCAGTCTTAAATCCTCTGCTGCTAATGACTTGTGGGCAGAAACATTTGGTCTTCACCTGAAGAATCCCGAAATCCTTGCCCAGCACGACTCCCGGTGCTCCCCGTGCCCTCCCGCCGTTCCGTGATGTCCCTCACTCTGTGAACCTAGCCATGAGCGCGCGGCCGCGCCGGGGGCTCCCTAAAGTGGATATTTGCAAAATTTCAAAAGAAATGCGAATTTGTAAAGTTATTCATTACTTAGGCAATGTGGATTCTGGATATTTAAGATTGGGAATGTATGAGTCATCCGGACGACCTCACTGAGAGCCCGCCCGGCTGTCGCCGTCCGTGTCCGAGCCAGCTCTCCAGGCTTTCCGGACACGGCTGCACCCCGACGCCTGCGCGGCGCCCCACCCAGCGCCCACCTTCGCCCGTGTGCCCACCCCAACGCCCGCTGAGGGGCTGACACTGCATTTTTAGGTTAACAAAACCAAGAAGGGCAAGTTTGCTCAAACTGGCAATGAATTTGAAAGGGAAACTCGCGGCCGTCTGCGTGGAATGAGAGAGCTCTGCAAGGCCAATCTGTTTTATTGGGTGACTTTTAGCGGCGCAGTGATGTTCTTTATCATAAGAAGACTGACAAGTCCTACACAGGGAGAAGAGATTTGACGCAGACATTGAAGGAGATGTCGTCAGCATAAACCAAGCAGAGCAGAGTAAGTGGCTTCCCCCGAGAGCAATTCTTCCCGTCTAATCTCTCTTCACAGCTCACTAGTTCTCTGGAAATCGGTAAAAGGTGTTTCCCATTATCCCGCCCCAGGAGCTCGTTGCTGCAGGTGGCACCCAGGCTCTGCAGCACAGCACACGAATGTGGCGCCACCCGGCAGGCAGCGCTGTCCTCCTCGCAGGCCACCGAGGTCGCAGACGCGGGTGTGCTTGCAGGAGGAGGCCCTCTGTGTCTGTGGGGACGCCTGGCACCAAGGCCCTTCCTCTTAGTGCTGTCTGCGGCCTTGAGCACACTAACAAGCCTCAGCTGTCTCTGTGATGAGGGGTACTGTAGCTTCCGGCGTGTTCTGAGAATGGACCGCACCCTCGGGGGGAGAGCCTGCCTGTCCTGGGCACGTGGCAGGTGCTGGGTCGGTGGGGCCAGTGCGCGGCAGGGATGCTTTCCAGGCATGGTCTTAAAAGACAGTGGGTAACTTTTGGTTTTGGGCAACTTCAATGCAAGCAACCTAAGTTTCCCTGGTTCTCACCTCACGCGAGACACGTGGCTGAGGTGGTCTGGGAGACAAGCCATGGGACAGGGAGTGTGACAGAGGTACCATTGTTACAGACCCTGGGGAGGGATGGAGCTCCCCAGACAGACAGGGGTGCCCCTCCTCCGTCAGGGTAGCTGCTCCGAGCCAGGATCTCGAAGCAGTGGCAGGGCGGGCAGTGGGTTCTCTGGCTGCACAGGAGGCCGGCAGGGGCGCCGTCTGCGGGGCAGAGCCACGGGCCACGCCCATTCTGCCCGGCCTGGGAGCAGCGCGTTTGGGCGAGGGCGACCGCACCTATCAGGTGCCAGTCTGGTGGAGACAGGAGGACTAGGGGGAACTTTCATCTTCTGAATTCCCGGATGCTTCTCCCTTACGGGGGGCGTTTCTGGAGAGGAAGGACATGGAAGTTAAGGCAGGAAGTCAGCTCCCCAAACTTTCAGGGTCTGACAAGTGAGATGTCGCTTTGGGACTTTGGAGGTGCTGAAGACTGTGGGAATTGCCAGTGACCCATCTTGAAGCCGGGCTCAGCTCCCTGTGGCCCGTCAGAAGCGACGGCACAGGCTCAGAGCCGAGGAACTCTGGGCTGTGGCCTGCAAGTGGTTTGTTTGCAGGAGCAATGAACCCTGTCCATCATCAGATTTTGCATTTAACAAGTTCATTTTTATTCAAGAACTCCTGGAAAATGAGCTGGAGAACTTTTCAGACTTTTGTTGGATCATCTGGTCACCAAGAAGGGATTTTCTTGAGATATGAAGGGTGGTCTCCCAGCGTTTAAGTTTCCGAGACAGACAGCAGAACAGGCACATTGGGATTCCTGTTTTACTAATCCGGTGTATTTTGGCTGTCAGGGAGCTTTAGAAGAGGCCTGTATTGCCCCATTCCTCTTCAGTAGCCTCTGCAGCTTCCACAGTTGGCTGAGAGATGTGACTTGGCTCACGGAGGCCACTGGCAGAGTTAGTGAGCTGCAGAGTGGCCCACTGGGCCCGTGGGGACGGTTCTGAATCGCAACTGCAACTGGAGGCGGGTGAGTGAGGCCCCGTCCCTCCCTCGCGTAGCTGCCGCCCTCGCCCTTGGTTATAGCTGCCAGCGGAGACCTGTTCAGACTAAGACAGGCTGTAGATCCAGCCAGCGGGGGTGGAAATGATTTGCCTATCAGTAAGCCTGGGGTCTGTGACTTGAGAGCTCCAGCTGTGGCCGCTGCCCCAAGGCCTCCTCTCGAATGGGCTCTCTGCCTCAGACCCCTGACTGCGCCAGACCCCCACTGGGGCACCGTCTGCTTCCCTTTCCCCTGAGGAGCGGATGCCAACCCGCTCCCCTCCCTACAGGCCTGCTTCACCCAGAAGGATGCCTGGAACCACCACTCCTGCCCTGCCCCTGCCGGGAAGACCCTACTTGCCCACAGCTTCCGTGGCCCCACTGCTGAAGGTCCAGCCCAGGAGCCAAGCACAAGAACCACCCCCACCGCACCTCCCCCCCAGAGCAGGCAGCCCACTCGCTCCCCAGCCCAGGCTGCCCCTCCTCTCCCACCAGCCCCAGGACCTGGAAAGCCCGGCCCACAGGGAACTGGGTCTGAGACCCAGAGCCTTCCCCTTTGCTCTGCCCTAACTTTCTGCCTCCCTGCGCTCTGCTCTTACTCCTGGGAAGGCATTCATGTCCAGCGCAGGACGATGCTTTCACTTTCAAAGGCCAGTTGAGAGCTGTGAAAATTGTGGGCGAGGCCTGTATAATTCCGTGCCTGGGTACACCTGAGCTCTCTCTGGGTCAGGCCAGCTCGGCAGGGCAGCAGCCTGTGGGTCTCAGCACACGCTCCATCCCCCCGACAGTCTGCACAACCTGCCCTCACTCTTCCTGGGCCTCCAGATTGTAAAAGAAAAGCCTCTGCACGTGCTGATCTTAAGACTCTCTATTCCTTTTCTCTTAACAATCACTCCCGTCCCGAGTTTCCCACCGACTCCCTTCGCCCTCCTGTTTCCAGGCTGGGGGAGGCAGCCCTTCCCTTCCCCTTCCCTGGGTGTCATCCCAGCCTGTTGGAGCCCTGCATGTAAGTGGCAGGAGGCAGGGGCTTTTCAGCAGCGGCCTGAGAGTTTGTCCATCCTGGTCTTGACAGTGAGGCTGCCGCTGCAGTCACCTGTCACTTTTGATTCACACCCCATTATTCACCTTGATAGCAAAGGTGTGTGGCCCTGAGGACAGAGCATGTTGGCAATAATTGGGGCAGATGCTTATTTTGAAATTTTCATGGCCTCCCCTTCTGTCTTCCTTTCCCCTCTGCCCTCCCTGTTTCAGCACCGGCTGGCTGGGCTTGCCTTCTGAAACTCGGCTTTCTCCCCAGCTCACACCACAGGCTTTCTGAGATTGTGAAGAATGCTATGGTGAAGATTAGAAGCACTTTGAGGGGCTTGGGCCAAAAAGTCCTAGAAAAGGCCCAGCTGCCGGGGCTCTCCCCCTCTGGTGGGAGGTGCAGGCGCAATGTGGTTGGGGGTGGGCCAGAGTGCTGATGCCACTGAGGGGGCTCTGTGGCCCCAGGCCACCTTCTGAGAGTCACTCTAAGGAGATCAATTATCCAATAGGCTACATTGGACATGCAGAACACAGTGGAGGGAAACACATTTCACAGATAATAGCAGAGACCATCAGGGCTGTACACTCTAGAGCACTCAATAATTGGTCATTGGGGTCTGGTTTAAAAGGAATTGCCTCCTGACTCGATAGACCTTAACCCATGGGGGCTCTGTGAGCCCACTCTGGAGCAGAGGGCTGAGCTTCCCTCAGGCAAAATTGCTCCTCTGAATCCATCAGAGGCCCTGGGGTGGTGGGAATGAGGAAGGGGATGACAGCCCTCTCTAGATGTCAGCCCCTGGAGGGGTCTGTGAGACCCAAGGAGGGAAGTGACCCAGTGCCAATTGGCAGAGACAGGACAGACATCAACCTGTGGCATTCACTGTGGGGAAACTCATCCTGACCTGGCCCCCTTGGCCACTGCTGTTAGAGATAGGATGTCATGGGGGGGGAGAATCCAGGCAGGATGCCACCTCCTGAGCTGGGAGCTGGGAGGGCTGGATATATTGTTCTTCCCTGCAAACAGCCCCTAAACAGCACACTCAGCTATGTGCCCCCACCCCCAATCCCACCCCATGTAGTGTCTGTGCTCCCAGAAACCAGTGAGGGGAGGTTGTAAGGAGAGTGTGGCTCTCACACCGAGACCCTGGTATCATGGGACCCACTGAGCCCCCTGGGCTCATCCCCTCCCTCCTGCTCAGCTTCTGCATCCAGCTCTGGCTCAGCACAGCCCCCCAGCATGGGGGTGGTGGGGAGGTATTGGAGGAGCCGGCCTTCCCGCTTCATTTCTGCCAGTTCCTTGGCACAGCAGCTGGGTGTGTTGGTCTCATAGGTGTCGTGGAAGGTATTGTAGTCCACCTCATAGAAACCCTTTTCCAAGGTGAGGACTGGTGTGAATCGGTGGCCCCAGAGCACCTCTGTATCCATGTAGGAGCTCCGTGCTTGGCAAGTCATGCCTGGGGAAACAGAAACCACATGCATTAAGATGCATTCATCCATCCATTTATCCATCCATCCATCCATCCTGTCATCCATCCATATGTCCAATCATCCATCCATCCATCTGTCCAATCATCCATCCATCCATCCTATCATCCATCCATCCAGTCATCCATCCATCTATCCATCCTATCATCTGTCCATCCTATCATCCATCCATCCATCCATCCATCCATCCTATCATCCATCCATCCAGTCATCCATCTATCCATCCATCCTATCATCTATCCATCCTTATCATCCATCTCTCTGTCCAATCATCCATCCATCCATCCTATCATCCATCTATCCTGTCATCATCCATCTGTCCAATCATCCATCCCTCCATCCTATCATCCATCCATCCATCTTATCATCCATCCATCTGTCCAGTCATCCATCCATCCATTCATTCATCCATCCATCCAATCATCCATCTGTCCAATTACCCATCCATCCTATCATCCATCCATCCAATCATCTATCCATCCAACCTATCACCCATCCATCCTGTCATTCATCAAGTGTTTGCTGAACATCTACTTTGTGCTAAGCTCAATGGAGGTGTAAAGCTGACTAAGACACGACCCTTGCCCTGGAGGAGCTCAAGGTTTCGTGGAGGCAGAAAATTAGAAACCAACATGTAAGATTCTGGAGTAGGTTCCTAGAAACTAGAGCAAATAATTTTTGGAATAGTTGGAGGCAGGGACACGGTTCCTGAAAACGGCATTCAGGTCTGGAAGACTGCGATGAGAAAAGAGGTAGGAAAGGGCTTGATAAAATATGAATTCAGAGCAAGTGAACACAGAGAAGCTATCAGGCTTTCGGAACATATGGGGATTGCTTTGGGTAGACACAAATGACAGAAGACTCCACACTGACACACGTGCCCCCCCCGCCACACGCACACACACACAGAGGAAGGGGAGCAGACACACACATACACACACAGCTTGGCTCCTTGATCTGAGGACGCTCGGATGCCTGCAGTCCCTGTCTACTTAGCCTCTGGCATGCCTGTGTTATTTTTAGGTGTTGCTGTCTCTCCAGAGAGGCAGGGCAGCTTTGTTTATGGATGAGAAGCCTCCGTGCTTAGGGTAACAGGGAAGCGGCTTTCTGGTATTTAATCTTCTAGCCAAGGAAGGTGCTAGCTGTGCTCTTTGGGAGCTGGGGAGAAGCCTTCTCTGGGAGGGTCTCAAACAGACCAGCCCCTGGTCAAGTCTGCTTCCTGCCCTTGGTGCCCCAGTGCTTGGCACCCCAGTGCCCCCTGCACACGGTGGGCTCGTCGCCTGCACTCCGCTCTGCTCTCGGGCATACCCGCCTGGGCTGGGTCTCTACATTCAGCACTCAGCCTTGCTGCCCACCCCCAGCCTCAGGAGAGGTGCGAACACCCGAAGTGCGCCCTGAGCAGGGATTGGAAAGGATTCTCTAGCTGTCAGTCACGGTGCTGTGCGTAGGCTGCTCCATTTGATCTGGAATCCTCCCAGCAGCCCTGGAGATCGAGTCTCCTCATTTTGCTGAAGAGTTCAGCAGTCCTACCAAACTCACGCAGGTAGGATGTGGCAGAGCTGTGTGGCTAAGCCTCGCCTGAATCCACGGCGGTGCTGGGCTCCACAAGCTCCACAGAGCCATTCAGGTAGAACGGTGTGGATGGGGGTCTCCTGCCCTCAACTCCCTGGGCCCCCACGGACAGAGCAAGCATAGCCCAGCTCATGGGAGGGGAGGAGGCCAAACAGGATGTGTCGATGTGGCCGCTGACTTTGAGGGACACAGAGGGGAGGAGCCAGTGGGCATCAGCCCTGCTTCCTCTGCCGTGGGGCCACGGGCACTCTCTCTGCTGTATGGCTGGTGGCAGTGAGGGTGGCCACGGGGAGTGGTCAGACATGGCTTCCTTATTTGTCCCCACATCTCTGACCTGACTCCTCCTTTGTGGCTTCAGAGTAGAGCTCCTCCCCCAAGACTCATTCTGTGTTCCGGTTCTGACCTCAGTGCCAAGGGCAGGGTGACCTGCAAGCCCCCGGCTCTGCGAGGGCGAGCTTCCTGTATCCCGACTATCCTTGGCCTCAGGGGCTCCCCTGGTTGCCACCATATGCTGCCTGGCTGGGCTTCAGCCCCCAGCAGATGGCCAGGCAACCCCCTCTAGCACCAGTCCCCGGAGGCTGTGAGCACCCCGCCCGGCCCCACTGGCTTCAGAATGCGAAGGCTGTGGGTGCTCTGAGTCCCCGCCTTGCAACTGGCTTCCCACAGGCGAGGAGGGTGCATTTGGCCATCTTTGTGACGGCCCTTAATTGTTAGGGGACCAGTGTGGTGTGGGAGAAGAGCTCTAGATTTGTAAGTGGAAGACCTGAGTACGAACCACTTGCTGTCTGCACGAACCTTCTGGGGTTCAGCTTCCAAATCTATAAAATGAGACTGAGCCAGCCCACGCTGTTGTTTGGAAGAATTAGAAAAATATATACGTATCATTCTGAGCATGGCTGAGTTTGCTATAAGTCATCCTTAGGGCCTGACGTGCTGCTCAGTCCACCTGGCGAGAAAAAGAGAAAGGAAGGCAAGAGGCAGGCAAGAAGGAGCAGGGTCTGGGGTTTTGCTGGGGGCTCCTCTCAGCCCCAAGCAGGCATGGGATGAGGACTGGGGTCCCCCGCCAGAGCCTGGACTCCCTCAGGCCTTGGGCTCCCTGGAGCCACCTCACAGAGCCCTGTGTGGCCGGCGGCTGAGGGAGGAAGGAGGGTCTTGGCTATCAGCCACCCGTGGGAGTCAGTAGCTGAGGGGAGCTGCCCTGCTGGCTGGAGGGTGGGCGTCCTCCTAGGCACATGCGGGCGCTGGTGGCTCAGCATGGTTGTGCTGTGTTTTGCAAAGCTGAGGGGCAGGCTGCTCTGGCCCCCCCAGAAGGACCCTCCCCCAGGCCGAGGGCATGGGTGTGTCTCCGAGGAAAGGACTGTGCAAGCCCCCAGGAGTTCAGGAAATGCTGCCTCCTGTCCTCTCCCTGTGCGGAGAGTCACAGTAGGCAAAGATACCCTGAAGTCCTGCTGTACAGAAACCAGTTCACATTTGTTTCACCCCAGGTTTCCTGAAATCATTTGATCAGCGACTTCTATTGGCTAAAACACTTGTTCCGGGAGGGGCAGTTTGCCCACTGGGAATGAGGGCCGGCTCTGGGGTCCATGCCTTGGTTTCTTTTTTTTTTTTTTTTTTTGAGAAAGTCTCACTCTGTTGCCTAGGCTAGAGTGCCGTGGCATCAGCCTAGCTCACAGCAACCTCAGACTCCTGGGCTCAGGTGATCCTCCTGCCTCAGCTTCCCCAGTAGCTGGGACTACAGGCGCACACCACACCTGGCTTATTTTTTCTTTTCTTTTTTTTTTTTTTGAGACAGAGTCTCACTGTGTTGCCCAGGCTAGAGTGCCGTGGTGTCATCCTCGCTCACAGCAACCTCAAACTCCTGGGCTCAAGCAATCCTCCTGCCTCAGCCTCCCGAGTAGCTGGGACTACAGGCATGTGCCACCATGCCCGGCTAATTTTTTCTATATATCTTTAGTTGTCCAATTAATTTCTTTCTATTTTTAGTAGAGACGGGGTCTCGCTCTTGCTCAGGCTGGTTTCGAACTCCTGAGCTCAAATAATCCGCCTGCCTCGGCCTCCCAGAGAGCTAGGATTACAGGCGTCAGCCACCGCGCCCGGCCTATTTTTTCTATTTTTAATTGTCCAGCTAATTTCTTTCTATTTTTAGTAGAGATAGGGTCTTGCTCTTGCTGAGGCTGGTCTGGAACTCCTGACCTCAAGCGATCCTCCTGCCTTGACCTCCCAGAGTGCTAGGATTACAGGCGTGAGCCGCCACTCGCGGCCCCCACCTCGGTATCTATCCTGGCCCTGTGACTTGGTAGCGCTTGCTCTTGGGCAAACGATGTAACCTGTCTGTGGCCCTGTTTCTTTAACCCGGGCTGGTGGGGCGGCGTTCACTGAGAGGATTTATGTTTAGTGGCTGGGGCCGTCCCGAATGTCGGAAAGGTTCAATCAGTGTTAGCTACTGTCATCAGCACACCCCGAGTGCCAGTACCTCCCAGGTCACAACGACTCAGGGAGTGACGTGTGACAGTGCCATCTCGGATTCTCAGGCACAGACTCCCATCCTCTGGAGTCACAGCATGGCAAGGCGACACTGTGGTGAGGAGGACAGGAGCGTCTTACCTGTTGCTTCCACCATCCCTTCTAGGATGACCACAACTTCAAACTCCTCCTGGCCCAGCTGAGCCCGAGACAGCTCCCAGAAAGGGCTCTTCTCGTTGATCTCGTGGGAGATGATGAGTGGAGACACCAGGAAGAGACGGTCGTCGCCCGTGTCGAAGCCCACGTTGATGTCCGTCTGGTTCAGGGGGATGAACTCCCCTTCTTTGGTCTGCCGGGACTTGATGAGCTTGGCGCGGATGGAGGCCTCCACGATGTGGGAGTTGCGCAGGTCGCCCACGCGGAACATGAAGCACAGCTTCTCGTCCCGCATGGAGATGACCGCGTTGTTGGAAAACATGAGGGTCTCTGCTCTCTTCTTGGGCTGGCTGATCTTGACGAACATGCAGCCCACCATGAAGGCGTTGACAATGGAGCCCAGGATGGCCTGGACCAGGAGGAGGATGATGCCCTCTGGACACTTCTCTGTGATGACCCGGAAGCCGTACCCGATGGTCGTTTCGGTCTCAATGGAGAACAGGAAAGCAGACACAAAGCCACTGAGGTTTTCAACACAAGGAATCCACTCTTGGTCGCCGACATGGTCCAGATCCCCCCGGATGTAAGCAATGAGCCACCAGATGAAGCCAAAGAACAGCCAAGTGGTGGTGTAGACCATGGTGAAGACGAGCAGGTTGAAGCGCCACTTGAGGTCCACCAGGGTGGTGAACAGGTCGCTCAGGTACCGATAGGTTTCCTGGACGTTGCCGTGGTGCACGTTGCACTTGCCGCTCTTCTCCATGTAGCGCTGGCGGGGCTTCTTGCCCTCGGCCAGCAGGCGGGTGCGGTCTGTGGCGACGGGGACGTAATCGCGGGCCTGCTTGGGAATCTTCTTGGGGTCCCTCGGAGTGACTCCAATCTCCATGTCCTGGTTCATAGCATTCCTAGAATCGCCAGCCATAGCTGGGCACTCTGAATTAAAAAAGACAACGTCAGTGAAGTGGACCGTTCTGACTCTCGGAAACACAGGTCTGAAGGTCATCTTACCCTGGGCGCTCGCTGGTACACGGTGGGTCAGACTGTGGAATTCTCAAGGGACCCTGTTCCTTTTGTATCCCTGGTGCCTTGTACAGATGCTACCACACAACAGATGCTCCACAGTTTTTGTTGAATGAATAAATGGAAAGTACCTAGGTGCAGCCTACACATCAAGTGTTTAAAGGATTTGAGAAATCTGGAAGCAATTATGAAAATAATAGTAGCAACAATTTATTAAATGCCTACTATGGTCCATACATTATAGGTGGATTATTGCTTATTACAACAACCCCCTGGCGCTAGCTATGGGAATCCCTATTGTATAAACACTGTATTGTTTGCTTATGGGTCAGGTGATTCCTAATAATCTCTCTCCTGCCATCGAATGTCAGCTCCACAGGGGCATAATTTTGTGTCTGTTTTGTTTCCTGATATATTCCCAGTACCTAGAACATAGCCTGGAACTTTCTATATACTCAAAAAGTACTTATTGAATAAATGGATGAATAAATGACAAAATAGAGTCCCAAAGAGGTTAAGTGACACCCAGGCCATCAAATAAGTGGCAAAATTGATATTTAGATTCCTGCTCACCTGGCCCAAAGCTTGTGCTCTTTCCATTATACCTGCTGTCTCCTCTCATTTTATCTGAGACCTTTCAGCAGCAGACAAAGGAACAGGCGGCGCGTGTCTGATTCCCCACGTGGTCACTCCCACCATCTGAGCGCTTACTAAATAAATGATAAATTGCTGCGTAGACCCACCATTAAAAAATTTGAGTCCGTTATTCTCTGTCCTCTAAGAAATCGAGATGGGCAGGAAGTTAATGCCCTAAGGTTTTCGAAAGGGCTGCAAAATGTTTTTGGAGTACATGCCACACTTCAAACAGACACCCAGACACCTGCCATACCCGATCTGATGTTCTTCTGATATTCCGCTCAAAACCATTGAAAGGCTTTAAGACTCTGACGAAGTTAAGAAAGACCATGAGAATCTGTTCAATTAATGATAACATCCTAAATTCATGAGCATTCACGAGCCAGGCACGGTGGTAAGAAATTTATATCCATTAGCTCATTTAATCCTCCCAACAAAGCTACTGGACGAACACCGTCGTCATCCCTCCGTTTCTCAGACGGGGAAAGTGCGGTTCCGGCCGCGTGTGCCCAGCTTGGTTTTGGCTCGAGGTTCATCTGGCCCCGGTCTGAGGGCAGCTCCGCAGCACCCGCCTCACACGGCTGACAGATACTGATGGCTATGGCTCCTGCTCAGCCTGAGGAACTGCTCCCTCCAGAAAGTTCTATGAGCTCCCGATGCTGGAGAGGTCTCCTGGGGGATACTATCACTCAGCCCTTTTCTGTCACTGTCGTCAGTAAGCAGTCCCTGGTTTCCAGGTGTTCTCCTTCCCAGGCGCGGCCCCCCCCCAATTCCTCCCACTTTCTCTCTGTCCTCACTGGGAAGTACCTACACCACTCTGTCACCCCGCTGCAGGCTTTCCCCTTCAGCCGGAACCCGAGCTGGGGCCGTGAACATTCCCGGGCAAATGATAAACTTGTTTAGGTGGCTGCCTGCAGCCCGAGGCCAAATAACCTGGGTGGCCTCCTCTTTGCACTGATACCGGGGCCTCTGCTCTGGCGTCTGCCTCGAGCGCTGCGGTGGCACTCTGCGTGGGAATTCCCCTACTGAGTGCTCTGAACTGGCCTCCCGATGTTTACTGCTTCCTTCTTTGGACGCTCAGCTGCCCCAGCTCAGGACAGTTTGGGCCAGTCCCTTGCAGGAGCTCCCTTGCTGTCACTTTGGAGTGACTCCAGCCACGGGTCTGGCCAGATGGAACAGCAGGAAACTGTGTTCCTGCCAGAACAACCTGGTGGAAGTTCTATGAACCACCGAGCCAACTCCCACCGGCTAACCAAGGCCCAGTTCCCCCATCCTGGAAAGTCGGGTGATCCTGGCAGACTTTTTCCGTCACTGCCTGGGTAACTGTAGCAGTTTCAAGGTGACTTTTAAAGTGTCACATCGAAGGACCATCTGAAGGGCTATTTGTCCACTGGCCATTTCTGTTCCGCGCAGGCCACCTGCTCCCTGCCCCTCCTGTGGCAGTTAGCAAGATAAACGAAACAGAGGGAAATGCCTGGGGTTTTTGCAGAGCCTAAGCAGGGTTCGCTCTGCCGCTAAGTAGGAGACTGCACGGAAAACGCGATCGCAGATGCCCAGAGACGGTGAGAAATGCTGCTGGTCCAAGGCCCCATGTGCTCTGGGGACCCCAGCTGTCGGAACCCAGGTAGGGGTCCAGTAGGAGAGCCGTCGTGGACCCCCGGAGCCACTCATGTTGGACGGGGCAGGCACAGTGCCCGCGAGAATGAGTCACCGGGCAGGGCACACGGGAACGCACATCCTCCTGCCCTCAGCTCTTTGGGGAAAACAGCTTTCTGCTGATTTTCTGCACTGTTTCCTTCTTTATTTTTAAACCTACTCGCGTACGTTCTTGTAGGCAAAGGCCTTGTGCTGTGCTAGAAACAGGAGCATGTTTTCTAGGACACTTCAGCCCAGATCTGAAAACTGTTTGTGTCTGGGTGACAGGACAAGGTGGTCTACTCCTGGTTTGACGTTAGGATACATTGCCACGTGTGCTGGAATCACCTGCAGAAGCTATTCCTCGTTCAACCCAGCGTACGATTTGGATCCTAGCTCAGTGTCCAACATATTTGCTCTGCAGGCCAAAGAAAATCTTAATTTCCTTTGGCTCCGTTTACTCCGTTATAAATCCCTGATAATATTCTCTGCCCCTCTAGCCCCTGGGAGCCATTTAGGGGTTCAAGGAAAGTATACACAATACAATCATTAATCTAACTGTAAATGCGCATGTATATTTGTAAACTCTCCTTGAATCGAAATGTGATGCAACGTCCCATTAACCCCATTTTAAAGACCAAGAAAGAGAGGCACAGAGCATCTAAGCGTGGCCTCTACAGCCCCAGTGGGCCCTGTGCAGGGCAGCACTGAGCTGACTGGCACAGAGCCTCTACCACCCAGATTTCTTGTAAGGGTAAGTGAAATGCCCACTCTAGAAACCCTGGCCTCCAGGGCTGTGTGCCCATCAAGTCAAAAGGATTTTCAGGAACAACAGAGATGAACTTCAATCAGGTTTTCAAGATCCATTCTATGACTTATGCGTCCATTCAGCAAGCATTAATTGAGGAACTACTATGGCCCAGCCCTTGTGCTAGGAGCTGGACATAAAGCAGTGAAGATGAATGCAGAGCCAGCCCTCCTGTAGCGTATATTCTAGCTTTGCCTCTTTGAACCCGGGGTTTGTGCAGGACGGTCTGGAGAGAGGGGCAGGGAGGAAGGCTGTGGCCTGGCCCAGGCGAACCGAGTATTCCAGCCACCCTCTGTGCGACGCAGGGAAAGGCACCGACCAGAGCGAATCCTGTTAAACCTCAGCCCGCCTGTGACTGCTCTTCCTCTTCAAGCCCGTCCTGTGTCTGCGGCTGGGACGCCGTGCTGAGACGGGATGAAAGCCTCTGGAAAAGACAGAGCTTCAAGTCCAGCAAAGTGGTTTAATCCCTTTGATATGAAAATACAAGTGGAGAAGGATTCAAAAGAGGCAAAAATCAAAGGAAGTTATATTTCAGATGATCATTAGCAAATCTGACATCCATTGAAACAGACCTCTGTGTTAAGAATTTCAAAAAACACCCACCCACAGTGAGGAAACTCTGCGTCATGGGTGGTCTAGAATGTCAGCAGCTGTGGCAGCAGCAGCAGCTTGACAGGAGCTGCACTCGGGGGTCAGCAGAGCTTCCCAGAGGGAGCACCGAGCTGGGAGTCTCGTGTCAGACTCAGTTTCCCTCTCTGTGAAAATGGGAATGGCAAACGTCTTTATGGACTTCCTCCTTTCTTGCTCATACATGCTGGGTCAAAATCTACATGCTGAGAGTTGGGACACGGGATAAGGTCAGTGGAAGGGACTGGAGGGGAACACACTCATGTCTCATACTGAGGTATCTGATGCTATTCTGTGTGAGTCTATATGACCGTACTTGCTAAAATATGAAAATGCTCCAAACTAGTTCATGACCAGGCTGTCCCCATGCCCTCAAGGACTTTCAAGGCTAGCAGGGCACGATGAACAGAGTGCACGCTGGGGATAGAGCAGGTGGAACTGTCAGACACCCTCGTGCTCCCTGTCCTCTAGTATACACCCCGGTCTAATCCCCGGGAGCTGGAGGTGTGGTCCTCGCTCCCAGTAGTAGCTTAAATTACACAGCACGGTTGACTTTAAGAAGGGTGGGTAGTCTGTGGTGAGCCTGACCCAATCACATAAGCCCTTGGAAGGCACGGGCTTCTCCTGAACAGGAGAGCCAAAGCCCGAGAGGAATTAGACGAGAGAAAGATTCTTTACGGGCTTTATAGATGGAGGGGCCACCTGGCAGGGAATGTGGGCAACTTCTGGGAGCCGAGAGCAGCCCCCAGCTAACCGCCAGCAAGGAAGCGAGGACTTCGGTCCTGCGACTAAGAAGAGCTGAATTTTGCCACAACCCCGGGAGCCTGGAAGAGGATCTGGGGTCCAGATGAGGATGCTGAGCCCCGCCGACACCTCGATTTTGGCCTTGTGAAAACAGAGCAAGAGCACAGATACATAATGCCCAGACTTCTGACCCACAGAACGGGGAGCTGATAAACAGGTGTCGCTGCAAGACATGACGTCTGTAGTCACCTGCTACGGCAGGAGTAGCAAACACAGTGCAGAGAGGGACGCTGACACCGGCGTCACGTTGCCCAGGTGCCTATTCTCTGCCTTGAGCTGAGGGACTTTGGGAAAATAGCCTCTGTTACTTTATCTGCGAATCGAGGATGACGGTCGGTCGTACTAACCAGAGTGCGTCTCTGTGGAGAGTAAACGAAAGGTTTAATCTTTCTGGCTCCCGGCG